TGGTACATAACACCACAACTTTACCGTCCCTTACGCCTAACTCCCTCCGGAATCTTAGTTTTCCTGTTCTCGCGTGACCCTCGGACGCAGCACCCGAGGGAACAGTTCAGTTCAGTTCAGTTCGCTGCCTTCTGACATTTTTGAGAGGGTATAATTACTACCAGGTCCTTGACTTCTCTCTCTTAAGCTGGATTTCATTCCTAATGTCAAGTACAGCTTCTGCTGTTAGAAGCTGTCACTGCTAAGGACAGGACAGGACAGGACAAATCACAGGACTTGCGGCGGAGCCAGAAACAGCCCAGTTTCTTGCATCAATGAGCATGGGAGCACCGAGGCGCTACGACAACTGTATTATTCCGTCCACGTAGACGTGGGTGAGTGCGGTTCTGGGAAAGGAAGACGCACTTCTGATGGTTCCTCTGAGTGACAGTACACGTCTGAGGTTTTACCATGATCAAAGCAATAGATCGTAACCCACCGCTCCGAGCTACCCAGAGTAAAAGGTGTGTTAGGAGAAGAAACATGACCTAAAATAGGGTGGTGCTGGATGTTGAGAAGTTTCAGTAAAACGTGGTGCTCAGTGAATGAAAAGGAGCTGAGGGAGTTGGAGAAAACAAAGTGGAGTAAGAGATAAAAAGTTAAAAGTGGGGGACCGGAGACGGACGAGCTTTTAGCGCCCTTAGGCCCAGTGTCAGATACAATCGAGGAACGCTGATGCCTAGGAAGCGTCAAGCTTCAGCTTGAACTCGGCAATGATTTTTGACGCCACTACCTCCTGAGGCAGTTTGTTCTATGTATTAATTACCCGCTGCGAAAAAGGTGGCTCTCGGGCGTTTGAGTGTCCAAGGCTAGTCCAACTTCATGCTGTGTCTCCTTTTGTTGGGCACACCACTCGGCCGGAGTAGGTAAGAGATTCCCTGAGAGAAACCCTTCAAGATACGGAAGGTTTCCATTAGGTCCCCCCCCAGCCTTCTCCGACTGAGTGAGAACAGGTTCAGCCCCTGGAGGCGTTCGGCACATGTCGCTCCCTGAAGGTGTGGTAATATGCGCGTGAACCTCCTCTGCACCCTTTCCAGAACCTTTTGGTCCTTCTTCAGAGCTGGGGGCCAAGCTTATACACAGTACTCTAAGTGCCGCTGAACGAAGGCCATTTAGAGCGGGACTAGCACGACAGGATCCCTGGACGTCATTGTGCGCTTCAACCTGAATAACGCTCTATAGGCCGTACTTGCCGCAGTAAGACACTGGGCAGAGGAGTTAAAGCGGAGTTCAGAGTGACCCGTAGGTGCCTGATCTCTGGCACTCCTGCCATAGCATCCCCGTCTCGAGCTCCCATATAGCGTCGCTCAGCCCTCAGCTCTTAATCACCCCCTTTGTGAATGAGAGCCACAGTAGCTGCTTGCCATTCCTGTGGCAATGTTGCTCTTGCCATCGACAGCTTGAAGAGGCGAGCTAACGGGGCTGCCAGGATACTCCCTAGAGGCCTAAGCAGTTCCGGGTGGACTTCGTCCGGTCCCGCCGCCTTGCCCCTATCTAAGCTGGCCAAGGTCTTTTCCACCTCATCCGGTAGGATAATGCTTTCCTCCATCAGCGTGGATCCTGCCGGCTGGTGCATGG